CAAGAGAATGGAGATGGGAGTGGGGACCAACGGAGGAAATGGATCCTGGGTAGATAAGTATTACAACGCTCAGTGTAATGTTGTAAACAGTTTCTTAATGAGTTAACCCTGAAGTTCAGGATGCTTGGCTTTCATTGGTTGATTTGTTGTGTTGTCTTTCTAGTACTTGTTCATCACAAGTATATTTTGATTTGGATTTGGATAAATGTACTTTATAATTTATATTATTAATCATTTGCTAGGGTGGAGTCAAAAATACCATGTGCTTATTAAAGCGGAAAGTTTTTTTTCTTGATACTTTGTTTCATTTGATAGCTTACAGGCCAGGAAGTTAGGAATTTCCCCATTTGATTATATGCCATTGAATTATTCCAGTAAATAATGCTAACTACTCCTTGGAATCATTTGAAAATTTTGTGGTGAACCCATTTCATCTTGGTTTGTTGTTGTTCTTAACATTTTTGGTGGTTTATTCTTAATTTCATTCTTTCTTTTTTTTGTTTGTGGTGTGATTAAAGTTGTCTGTGAGGGCTTGATTCTTCCCACAAAAAGATCGAATCTGAAAATTGATTGGTTCCAGATGATCATGTTAGGTCTGACTAATTCAGAGAGATATCATAGACTTGCGTTAACAAGACTTTTCTGGTAAATCCTTAGCCTTTGCTATTTAGTTAAAGCTAACTCACTCTTTGAATTTAGTGTTGTAGAGACACCAATAATGCATTCTTTTTACTACGTAGCAGTAGACTTATTTTTAGAAATTAGTTGTTTTTAGCAGCTTTTAATACTTTCTGAAATTATATATTAGTATCCGTTTAAGAAAACGCATGATTTTGAAAAGGTACTTTAAAACTTGATAATATTAAAATGAACTGACAAGAGTTGTATCCTTATGTAACAGTGTACACGGCCGAGGCGTTTCTTTCGTCAGTAGTCACTTCTCTGTGCACACAATTCAAGGTACTCTACTCCCCTGCTCATACCAAATCAATGAGGCCAACCAAGTGCGAAACTCTTTAATTAAAATTCTTACGTGAGTGTTTCAGTGATACATTCATCTGTTTTAGTAATAAATCTGTTGACAAACTTTTGAGTACAGCTTTCCTTACTTACAAAATATTGGGTCCTAGAGCTACCTGTCGAATTTTCCTTCCCATCTGAGCTGTTCATGGGCAGCATGAAGCATTAGGTAAGTCAATGAATGAATGAATCTTTGCGTGGTGCCTATGGGAGCGCTGTGGCCCACAGTTGTCTTGGCAAAAGCATAGCAGTAACTCCCAACAGAGAAGGAACTGCGTCACCGTAGAGGGGAACTTAATGTTCACAAACCAGCAGGGAGCAAAAAATATTTCATGATTTCATGAGGTTGGACATTGCACCAGATATTTTTTGTATTATGCCAGGAAATTAAAAAAAAAAACATTTTTCTCTCCTTGTTGATTTTTTTTTTCTGTCAGAATCATTGCTGTTTTTAGCGAGGGCTGGTTTTATTAAATGCCATGGTGTTTTTGCGTATGCCACTTATTTCAAATAAGTGATAAAATGAACAGAAATGAGTTTCAAAAGCCAAAGCTCAGTTGTGCCTTCAGCTTTCATCTACCTTCTTTCATTAACTCTTCCACGTTCTTCTGCAATTAGTTTTGAACATGTAAAATAATCATGTTGTTTTTTATTCCTGCATCTAGAACCTTCTCAGGGCTGTCTGTTGGGTATATGGTTCATCTCAGCGTATTTGAACGATGTGCAATAAATTTCAGGTGTATGCTCCTGTGTGGATGAGTGTACACATCTCCTGTCAGCTATGCATCTTTACTTGTGTCTCTGCTTTCATGTGTTTTGCTTTAGTTTTTTTTTTTTAATCTTGTTTACTTGAAAGGTAGAGAGGGAGGAGAGAGCGGCAGGATGCTGGAGTTGGAGCAGTGCTGGGAATGAACCCCAGGCGCTCAGTATGCCATGCAGTGTCTTAAACAGGACACCAAACACCCGCTCCACTTGCACCCTAGGAAAGTCTGTGCTGATGACATAGCTCATTCACAGTGACTGGAAGTTTCTTTGTAACAGGAAGGGCAAGTGAAGACCTTTCAGTTGGCAAGTAAGCAGGTTGACCTAATGCTTTTTCTAAGTGATTCTAATCTTTTAGTACCAAGTCTGAAACCATGTGTTTGACTCAAAGGAGAAAGCGGTTGTGAGTTTGAAGGAGTACATATATTATATATATTTTTTTATAAAGATGATGTGTGATTTTTGTCAGAAAAGTACAAAGTAAAAAATAAAGAACTCTGGTGATCCCTCTACTTAGTGATAAAAACTGCTAACATTTTGCCACTTCCTGTTCAATCTTTTTCCAGTGCATTTTTAATAATGTTGAGACAAGATACACTATCTCCCTTTATTTCTTTAATTTAATATCATAAGGTTTCTCCCTTAATATAATAACTATGAATCACCAGAAATTCTTTGTAAGACATGTATTAATGTTTCGCAGAACTTTTCTTTTGGACTTACTTTGTTTTATTTGACTGCTCCCCAAAGTTGGACTTGCAGTTTATTTTTAATTTATATTAAACATAGTGCTCCTGTGACAGTTTTCTTCTGTGTAATGTTTATGTTGGTACTTTCATTTATTTCCCCAGAATTAATTTTACTTTAGAAGGAGAATAAACTAGACAGTAGAGTGACTAGATGAGTGGATATCAATAGTTTCGGGCAATTGATAAATGCTTGATAAACTACTTTCCCTTTTTGTTTCCGTTTTGTTTACTTATTCATTTGAAAGGCAGCATAAAGGAGAGGTAAGGAGGTTAAGAGAAGGAGTGATGGGGCAGAGAGGGAGACAATTTCCCATTTGCTTGTTTGATCTTTAAATGCCCACAAGGAACTTGGTTGGGCTAGGCTAAAGCCAGGAGGCGGGCACTCTATCAGGTTCCACTGGTGTGGGTGGCAGGGTTAGGGTCTCCTGGCATCTCCTGCTGCCTTTTGGGGTGTGCATGAGTAGAAACCTGGACTGGAATCGGAGGTGGGACTCAGTCCCAGGCAGTCAGAGGTGTGGAGTGAGGGTCCTGTGTAGCAGCCTAATGTACTACTCTACAAACCCTGACCCTAAATTCTGCTTTCTGAAAAGATTGTGCAGTAGATAATTTTAGCAGTTGGTGTCCAGCTAATTGTTCATTCCAGCATGAAGTACTATGATGTTTTGACACTGCTGTTTTATGAGGCAAAAAAAAAAAGTGTCTTATTTTTTGTACCAAAGTTCTTTGATTTTTAATGTGTTTTTTTTTTAAATTGACTACTTGTATTTATTGACCTATTTTGATCTTAGTGTTTTGAATTTTACATTTCTGTGAGAGTTTTGTTACATTTTTCTCATGTGTTTTGTGGTCCTTAGTGTCTACATTTTCATATTTAAAATTGATATTTTTCGTTGTCATTTTTGCTGTTTTAATTTTAGGATGTCTTTACTTCTTTCGTTCCCCTAGTAGATGGGTAGTTTATTCTCATGAGTGATGTACTAGTGTTTTATTTTCTTAATCCACAAATTAGAAAGAGATGCATCAAGGTTTTCTTCTGTTTTATTCTTTTGCTTTGCGAGTTGCATCCCTTTCACCATTAGTTTTGATCTAGTTAATCATCTTACTCCTTTTGTTCTTTCCAGTATAGAGAGCTACAATCCATCATCCATTCAGTTTTATCATACCAGCCTAGAAAAGTAGATATTTTGGAAATTAGAAAACTAGAAATTTTGGAAATTGCCTTCTCAGGCTTTCCCTTTCTTGACCTAATCTGTTGAGGATTTGCTCACTTGCAATTTTTATTCTACCCTGCTGCCCTTTTGGCTCTATTTTTCCGCCTCTGTTTTTAATTTTTCATTTCTGTACTTTCCAGATTTTCAAAAAATTGGTCCACATGTGAGTACTTGAAGCAGCTGCACTGTTAACATTCATCATTTTATTCCCTGTAGCCCTTACTAAAATTTCAAAATTAGAACATTTGGAAGATAAGGAGAAGCACAGAGAAGGAAAAAGAACTTAGTCTTGACATTCAAATACATCCTGGAGTTGTTAAACACTGTATGATATTTAATTCATCTTGAAATGCCACAGCATATGTAGTGTTTTATGTGTTAAGTGTATGAAGTAGTTGTGTATATATTTTAAACAGAAATATTTTATTATTGGCTTTTATTTATTCTATTATTATTCTTATTTCCCACGATGTGTTTTAGGTACAGGGATTCCCTCCTTTCTCTCCCATTTCTTCATTCCCATTTTCTGCTCCCAGCATTTCCCTAATACTGTTGCAGTAGTGTAGTTTTTAAGTAACAGTTACATATTTAATATTCTGCTATTTAAATGTGTCACTGCATCGTAGGTATATGCCCAGGTAGAAAATATAGTGTCATATTGTGAAGACATATTAACTGTTTCATTGGGAGTCCACTTTTCACTCAGGAGTAGAGAAGCCTACCATAACATATCTTCATTTCCCAATGTGTTTTTTAGAGTTTTTTTTAAAAGATTTATTTTTATTGGGAAATCAAATACACAGAGAGAAGGAGAGGAAGAGAGGAAGATCTTCCGACCAATGATTCACTCACCAAGTAACCGCAGTGGCCGGTGCTGTGGCAATCCAAAGCCAGGAACTTCCTCCAGGTCTCCCACATGGGTGCGGGGTCCCAAGGCTCTGAACCATCCTTGACTGCTTTCCCAGGCCACAGGCAAGGAGCTGGATGGGAAGTGGAGCTGCCCGGATTAGAACCGGCGCCCATATGGGATCCCAGTGCTTCAAGGTGTGAGGACTTTAGCTGCTAGGCCACGCCGCCGGGCCCCTGCAGGTCACACTCATCCTGCTTTTTCCTTAAAATAATGACCATTCTCTTGAGAGGTCTGTTGGCTGAGTTAAATCCATCTTAACTGTTCAGTTGCTGAAGGTCCAGAGAATGGCGCATTAAGAAGAATTATAAAACTGTAGAAAATTGTAATATAATTTTTTTTTTTTTTTAGGTAAAAAGGCTCCAGTTTTGTTTAGTAAAGAAATGATTGAGTCCATGAAGGAAGGTTCTGTTGTCGTGGATTTAGCTGCTGAGGCTGGAGGAAACTTTGAAACCACTAAGCCGGGAGAACTTTATATTCATAAGGTATATAAGAAACATTGTTCATTTATGAATGATTTTTCATATCTTTAGAGATTTGTACGAGGCCATTTTATTCATATTTAGCAAACTATGAGAATATTTTAAAGACCTGAAAATATTTTAAATAGGCCAATTTAGAACTTTGGTTACGTGTGTGTATCTGAGTTTGTTATGTGTGTGTGTCTGAGTGTGTGTGTATTTATATGGACACATAGGTTAAAAACTTAGTTATTGTGAATAAGAATTGTCCTAGAAGGAGTGTGAGCACTGAGTAGCAGACCTTTCTGACTATGACTTGTTTCTTTAGGGAGTTACCCATATAGGCTATACTGACCTTCCTAGCCGAATGGCCACGCAGGCCAGCACCCTGTATTCCAACAATATCACCAAGCTCCTGAAAGCCATCAGTCCAGACAAAGACAATTTTTATTTTGAAGTGAAAGACGACTTTGACTTTGGTACCATGGGTCATGTCATTAGAGGAACTGTGGTGATGAAGGTAGGTGATGAGCTATGTCCCTCGTGCGGCTTTTAGCATGTAGTTGTGCTAGAATTTCTGTTGAGGAAAAAGTCCTCTTTTGGAATTGGGTTGTATTCTAAGGTGTTGATGTACCAGTTTATACCAATGTAATTGTTTAAGCGTGCAGAAGAGTGTAAAGAAAAATATTTTAGGGCCAGGCACACATGACTCACTGAAAATATATGTTAATTTTAAGAAACAGAAGCAAATAGTTGAATAAATATTGAATCTTTTCTCCACCTACCTACTTTCAAGGGTTTGAGCTGTATTCTTTCACATATGTCTTAGAATATACAGGTTATGTATCTATGGGTATGTAACGTACATCCTGTATTTATAACACATTTATGTAAAATGTTATGAAGTACATGTATTTATACAAAATTGCATTTGAAAGAAAATTTTTTTCAGCAGTAAACTGCCTTCCATAAATGTTTTCAAAATGCCATTTTTTTTAAAAAATGCTAACTTCCAATCTGTTAGGATGGTGAAGTGATTTTCCCAGCTCCCACGCCAAAAAATATCCCTGAAGGTGCCCCAGTAAAACCGAAAACAGTGGCCGAGCTGGAAGCTGAGAAGGCAGCGACCATTACCCCCTTCCGGAAGACGATGACCACGGCTTCGGCATATACAGCAGGTGAGTGCCCGCTCTCCGGCTCAGCCTGACGGTCTCTGTAATACCTTAGTTGATAGCATTGGTAAATGAAGTGCTGTTGTTGTTTTGATCCCATTAGTGGTCAGGCCTGATGGATTTGACTTTCCACCCGTGTGTGGCTTGTCCCCTTTTTGTACAGTTGCAGACTGTGTTGATTGATTGCCTTGGTACTAATACTGAAATGAAAACATATACTTTATGTACAGGATATTAATAGTTTTTCCTCTTAGAACATGTTTAAGCATATGCATTCATATTTTTGTTTATATCAAATGTACTCAGTAATCATGTGTGAAGATATTTTACAAAATTTATGCAAAAATGAGATGAAAAGATGTATCTGGGAGTGGGTCTTTGGCACAATGATTAAACACTCCTCGGAGCAATGACATCCTGCATTGAGTCCTTGGTCTTGGCGTGACCCAGCTAGAGGCTTAGCAAGCTGCTTATACGCAGTCTGGGAGGTAGCAGGTGATGGCTTGAGTCTTTGGGTCCTTGCCACCCACAGGGGAATCACAGATGGAATTATGGGGTCATAGTTTCTGCCTGATCCAGTTCTGTCTGTTGTAGTCATTTGGGAAATGAGCCCAGAGATGGGAACTCTCCTTCTGTCTGTCATCCTGTCTTCCAAATAAATAGGTAAAATAATTATGTGAAAAAAATAATGTATGGTGGAAAACTTGAAATCCATACGTAGTATTTCTATTATATGCATTGTCCTTGAACTTTTTGAAGAATGTGTGTGTGTAGATGAGAACTATTTATTTGGACCAAAGTAAGCTTATCTTTTAATTCTAACTTTTCCCTAAACTTTTTGAAATGCCGTTGTGTGTCAGATTATGCTGATTTTAATTGTATATAAATCTTATGGGGGTTTTGTGCTTTGTAAAACTTGAGGTGTGATTTTCTGTACAGTTGGGTAATACTGGAAAACCAAATGCTTGCTTTGAAGGATACACACAATGATATAAAGTAATGTCCATGAACATATTCAATAACATTCTAAGTTATTCACCTAGTGACAAAAATCTAACATTGTAAGTTGGTTTTCTTCCTTTTGTTTGAATTTCATATAAGTTGCTTATCTAATTTTTAAAGGTTTATGTTTTACTTGAAAGAGTTATGGTAGGGAAGTGGGGAGACAGAGAGAGATCTTCAGTCGCAGGTTCACACCTTTAATGGCCAAAATGAGCAGAACTGGAGCGATCGGAAGCTGAGAGTCAGATCTCCAGCTTCTCCTGGGTCTCCCACATGGGTGCAGGGGCCCAAGACCCTGGAGACATCTTCAGCTGTTTTCCCAGGCTAATAGCAGGGAAGTTGGATTATAAATGGAGCCGCCAGGAATCAAGCTGGCACCGTCACAGGTGAAGGATTAGTTTGCTGTGCCACCTCACTGGCCCCACACTATTTTTTAAATTCATCTTCATGAAAACACTAAAAACGTACTGTTGAGTTGTGATGAATATTCAATTTGCCCATGTATTATTACAGACTGAAAAATTTTTGTTTGACTTTTCTTACATACAGTGCACTAGAAATGCTACGTAGATCTACGTAGGGCTAAAATAAAAAGAAAACAAAGGAAATGATAAAGAATTAAGGACTGGTACCAGATAAGCAGAATTCCTTTCACCTCAGGTTCCATGTGGGTCTTCATGCTGTGTGCTCCTCCTTGCTTTATCTTGAACTGCCTCTTTTGTATTAAAAACAAGATTTTTGTCTTCTCTGTGTGTAGAGAATCTATAGCAGATCTTTCAGAGAATGTGACAGACTTTAGTCCTGTCACGGTCCTTTCTGTTATGACTGAAGACTTCATTAAATAGTATCACCTTTTAGGTGTGTGATGTGATCTCTGTCTAGATGCTTAACACAGGAATTGTTGAGTTACGGTAATTCAGTGCTTCATGATTAATGTGTTTATAATAATGATGAATATTTCAGTGACTACTAAGTGGGAGAGGAAGAGAGAGAGAGAGCGAGAGATCCCACCTGTAGCTTCATTTCCCAAATTCCAACAGTGGCTGGATTGGCCTGGGCTAAAGCCAGTGGGCAGGAATTCAGTTTAGGCCTCTTGTGTGGGTAGCATCAGCCCAGTCACTAGAGCTGTAACTGTTGTCCTGCAGGTGTGTGTAGGCAGGAAGCTGGTGTCAGGCACTACAGAGATATTAACCATTCTTAACCATAAGAATGTTTAATTTTTAACTGGAAGGCAAAACAATATTTTATCAAATTTCACTAGAAATGATGAACAGATCATGCACAGGAACCTTGGAAATGTAGTATGTGGCTAGGAGAGTATATTCAAATGACGGTTTTACTGAATAATTTAAAGTAAACTTAATGTCAATGCTTAGATGTTTTAGCTGTGCCACTTACAAGCTAATTCATGCCAAGTAAAAAACTGTCCCTGATTCTGGAAGGTTCATGTCCTGCCCCCTGGTCACTCACTGTCATTGTGTTTCTGTTGACCACCAGGTAACCCTTTCTTCTGTTGCAGAGCGATCGTCACATGTTCGCCATTAAGGAAGGCGATAATTAAAGATGTATGTTCGGGGCTGACTGTTTGTGTTCTGCACATTCTTCACTTAATTTGTATTTTTCCCCTTTTCTTTGTAAAAATCCTGATTGCTGACTTGTGTTGAGGCTGGAGCTGACCGCCCTGGCCAACAGTCCTGTCCAGATTCAGGAGCAGATTGCAAAACCTCTGTCCCGGGTGGGTGAAAGCCATGTGTTTTAGGGAGTTGCTGGAGTGAATGAAATCCTTCCTACTCTGCTAAAACTCCTCTGCCTCAGCCAAAGCTGAGAGTGACATGAAATTGGCCTTGTAAAGCCTCTGTCTTCAAAAGGTTATGTCTTTCCCAAGTAGAAAGTGCTTTGGTAGGGCCTCTATAGGCGTATAATTCTGTAATAAAAATGCTGTAATAAAAACATGTGGCATTGTCAGTGAAAGTTAAAATGGAAGAAGACAAGATACGTGGGACAAATGTGCAATTTATCATTAAGGTGACTCATCAATATCACTTGGTTTTTGTAGTTTGCCTGGGGAGGTCAGTTGAAAGTTGAATTTTGTTCACAGATTTCTTCCTCACCCCCACTTCCCAATTGTGAAATATGTAAAATACCTGTGCAGTTCTGGCAAGGGGGTAGAGTTTAATACATTGGCTGTTCCAGGTGTTGGAGTGTGTGTGTGTGTGCATTTTTAATATGATTGAGATAACAGTTATCTTAAAATCTTTATCTTCTTTCTCTAGGTCTCACTGGAATGCTGGGATTGGGCCTGGTGGCTCCCAATCTAGCCTTTTCTCAGATGGTGACCACTTTTGGTTTGGCTGGCATCGTGGGCTACCACACGGTCTGGGGTGTGACTCCCGCCCTGCACTCACCACTGATGTCCGTGACGAATGCCATCTCAGGTCTGTTCCTCTCTCGGGTTTCCTCATTTTGCATTTTCAGAGACTCATCTGGAACTAGGAATGCTTTCAATGTGGCTTAGAAAGTCTTTCTTTTTCCAATTGTTTCCCTTCGTGTTTCGGGCCACATTGTGGTAATTCTGAGGCTCTCAGAGGGTGTAAGATGTGGGCTTGTGAAGTCAGAGGGCATGGGAATGTGTCAGCCCTTTGGGCTGCTCCCATTTCAAGTAGTGCAAATCCACTGGTATTTATTTCAAATATGGTTTACTTTAAGAAAAGGATTCCACTGGTGAAATGTGAAAACCAGAGTTTCTCAGAACCATTGTTGCAACATCCTTAAGGGATTCCTGTTAGCTTTGTGAGGTTGGATGTTCAGTTGAAGCTACAGTTGGCCACACATGGCATTGACTTCACTGTGAGGCTCATGGGACTGGAAGCATGGCCTGCTGGTGGGACAGCAGGGGCTTCTCTTTGGTTTTAGTCTACACAGCAGTCCATAGGCTGCCCAGGAGCTCTTCCCTTTGTCTTCTATTGAAGCCTCCAGTGTCAGGGAATAAGATCCACAATGGATGGGCAGGGGAGTTGCACTGGCCTCTAAGCCTCAGGGTCCACAGACTCCCACAATACTGCTGTGGATTCTAGCGTCTCTGCAGGGAATAGCCCAGCACCCAGGGAAGCCCAAAGCCCTATTATCTTCATCATAAATAGTTCTTTCCAGTTCAGATATATGTATCCACCAGCAGTCACTTTTTTGCAATAAGCAATGCTGTCGAGAAACCTCAATGATTTATACCTTTTTCAGTAGAATAGAGCTGGAAAGTTAAAGGCAGGTTGTATCCTTACAGGGAAGGTGAAAGCGTTTTGTAAACCCTTTGCTTGAAGTAGTACTTTAAGGGAGAAAGAGGAGTGTTGTCAATAGCTTTCCTCAGGAAAGTTCATTAGATTTGGCCCTGCACTTTCTGATGTTCTATGTAGATTCAGCCAACCGTGTCTCAAAAATAGTCAGAAAAAGTTACATCTGTACTGAACACTTACAGCCATGTTCTCATTGTCACCAGTCCTAAACAATATAGTATAATAAATGTGTAAGTGATATTTACATTGCATTATTATTATTATTGTAAGTAGTATAGAGATTATTAAGTATAGAGGAGGATGTGTATAGGCAATATACAAATACTATGCTATTTTATATAAAGCACTTGAGTATCTGTATCTGCATATTTTGATGCCAGTAAGTGGTTTTTTTTTTTCCCCTTTTAATCAGTCCCATGAGTTTGACAGTGTAGCATTTTAAGGAAAGTGGCATGACAACTGTTTTGCTATTGAGAGCCTTTGCCTTTCTGAGTGTGTGAGTGAGGTGCCGTTGTGACTCTTCACTGGCTACGCTTCCCTTCTAGGACTGACGGCCGTCGGTGGCCTGGCGCTCATGGGAGGACAGCTGTATCCGTCTACAACTTCTCAGGGCCTTGCTGCTCTCGCCACCTTCATATCCTCAGTCAACATTGCAGGTAGAAGGAGGATGGGAGAACCCAGGAGGCTACTTTTAGTGGAGACCTACCAAAAGCAATTCATAAATTAGTTTCAGATAGAAATTCTGATCTTAAGAATTTACCTGGGGCTTTAGAAAGTCTTTCACTCAGGCCATAAAGTTTTTTTTTGGTGAAGGCAAATAGTTTTGCTTGTCTGTAATTTTTAGAAACTAGGATAAGAGAATAAGACCCCCCCTTCCTTAATATTCCAAAGTAAACAAACATAATAATGCTGCTGCAGTTTAACTGGAAAGTTATTAACTGCATAGTTTTTGGTTAAGCGACCATAACAACTACAAATGAGAATATTTTTAGATAACATTTTGGTTTTTCCCTTTATTCCAGCACAGCCAGTGTTTATTTTTGAAAATTGAAAGTGTAGCACATTACTCATGTGTGAGACCCATTTGATAGTATTTTATAGCTAAAAATCCTTTACTGTGTCCAAGAATCACAGGACTTATTGACATGTTTTTCCTGTTGTTTATTATAGGTATTAACAAATATAGTGACTTATTGGAAAACAACCTAATCTTTGATTCTTTTTCATTCCCAAGATTTTTGAACGGCTATTTACTTTTAGTCATGCATAAATAGTTGATTTTGCATTCAGATGGCAACTTTTTCTTGTTTTTGGGTTTTTTTTTCCCTCTTTCCCCACTAGAAGAATTGGCTTCAAGAGTAGAACTTTTAGTCTTGAAGTTCTAGAATGTTATGTAAAGTTTCTGTTAATCCCTGGGTAATAAAAATAGAAAAAAAATGTAATACTTCAAAAGGTCTTGGGTCATTATGTTGTTAAAATTATATATGTGAAATACACAAAAATTGTTCCTTTTGTGTAAATAAAAATGAATCCTATTCAATGTCTGTTTCTGTTCTGTTTGCTTTGATAAGGTGGTTTTCTGGTGACCCAGAGAATGCTGGACATGTTCAAGCGTCCCACAGACCCTCCGGAGTACAATTACCTGTACCTGCTCCCTGCTGGCACCTTTGTGGGTGGATATTTAGCCGCTCTCTACAGTGGCTATGACATTGAACAAGTAAGAGTGCTTACTGAATGCTTTAGTGTTTTCTACCAAAAATTCTGTTTTCTTCTTCATCAGACTTAACATTATTGTTAACCAGAATTCAAGCTATCAAGCAATTTTATCCCTGGAGATAGCTTGATCGGAGTATTCCGGTCCGCTAAGGATCTGGCCCCTGCATCCCCGAGAAAGATTTGTCTGTAGCATTGGTTTAGCTGAGTGTTTCTCTCATGTAGAAAGGTTGTTGCACAGACCCCTCGGTCAGACTTGGTCCATTCTTGTCTCATGCATGAAGGAACTCAAGGAGGAGTGTGGATGGAAGAGTGTGGATGGAAGAGATCAGCAAGATGTGTCTAAGGGCAAAGGGCGAGTGGACGCTCAGAGGGATGTACAAGTAACCGCAAAAGGGAGGGCTGCAGTTAACACGGTTTGGGTTCTCCTTGCATAAAGTAGGCGAAGGTGTCTGGAATAAGGCTTTGCTGAATATTCAGATGTGGGCACAGGTTGCTTGGGGCTGAGCCCGGCCCCGCTTCCCCCTGTTTTGAAGTCTCAAAAATATCCTGATACGTGATGGGGCTGTGGCACGTGGTGAAGTCCAGGACGTGTCATGGCATCTGATACACAATGGAGAGTGAGGCTGTGATCTGGAATATCTGGAATGAGTTCTTTTTTTTTTTGCAGCGTTTGTTCAGGTCTGATAGTTTCAGATCCAATCATAACTGTTCTTGTTAACATATTTTTCTATGTGTTTATGCATAGTATGAAATCCAAATGAAACTAGTCTATTTAAATGATGCGGTTACTATTCCTACTGGATGGGAAATATATCTGTTCTCAGACATTCAAGCTTTCACAGGAGAGGTCCTTTGTAAGTTAATAGTAGGAAGGTTGTAATAACGTCTCTCTCTTTCCCCTTTTCTCTGAAAAGATCATGTACCTAGGCTCAGGTTTGTGCTGTGTTGGGGCCCTGGCTGGGCTTTCCACCCAGGGAACAGCACGTCTTGGCAATGCACTCGGCATGATTGGGGTTGCTGGAGGTCTGGCAGCCACCCTTGGCGGTCTAAAACCGAGCCCAGAATTGTTAGCGCAGATGTCCGGCGCCATGGCTCTGGGCGGTACCATTGGTAAGTATTTGTGGGCATCTACTTTTATATGAGTGTATGCCCTTCAAACCCCTGAAGGCAGTTGGGTTCGTAGATTGAGGAGTACTGTCTTACCAGTAATACCTTTTAATAACAGCGTATTAATTGTTGAACATATGTTTCTCTCTGAGATACATAGTAACGAAAGAATTGTATTTCCTTAATGGCAGTTGCTTCAAAAAATATGTATTTTGGTAAAAATTCCAAACAGTTGGGAAAATTCTCAATCTAAAACACAAGCAAAAACATCATATGCATCAAATGAGTCAAAATAATGGCTATAGATCAGCCTGTGTATAGTTCTTTGATTTTAAATTTTATTGTGAATATTGTCTTCATAGTTGAGAGGGATACACTGGAAGGTGGGCCTCTGATTATGGTGGGGATGGTCAAGGCCTGTTGGAAAGTGGGTGGGACAAATGTTCCTTTTTTTTTTCTGTCCTGTGCTTGCGGTAGGGGGAAGGGCACGGGGTTGGTTTTTGTTGTCAGACTAAATCAGCACCCAGGGACCGGTTGTGTATAGCCGTTATCTGCAAGGAGTGGATGTAGGTCATGTTTTGTTCTGCAAGGTATAAGTAACAGCAGAAGGTGTTAGCTCAGTTAGTTGTTAAAAACTTTAAAATCATGTGGGCCAGTAGGAACACTACTGCTTTAATTTTGGTATGGGACTGTGCTGACTTTCAAATGTTTTATAAATTTGCGTACTGGATTTTGAATACAGCCATTACCAACAATTAAACTTAAATGAACTCAAAATTAAATAAATTATGCTATAAACAAGGGTAAAAATACAGAAAACTCATGTTTCTAATTGATTGGGTTTTGTTGTCTGTTCTTGAGGTCATTTATGTCTATTTGTATGTGTGTAGTAGAAATACTGTGTGATGAAAAGGTTATTGTACATCTTCTCCCAATTCTATACTCCAAGAAATCACTTTGGTAGATTAGAGTCAGCCTAAAGTGGAGCACTTACACTGTGGAAATAATCAAGTGCTACAAGTCTGGACTTGATTTATTATTTATTCTTAAATCCTGAGAAAGTGATTAGATTTATTGATAATGCAGCTTAAATTTATAGCTTTGCTGTAATGTAATGATTTCATTTTGAATAGGAAAAAAGAAAAAAAGTTGAGCAAATAGTCTTTCTGTACTTGAAGACTATTATCAGAGTTGATGAAGAAGTCCCTTGCATTTTTGGGAAAAGAATATATCTCACTGACAGGAACATATTCGTATCACAAACTCAACGTCTCACTTTCATCTTGTTAATATGAAGAAACATATCAGTCGAATTTCCTATATTTGAAAAAATATATATTTGAAAACTTATATGTTCACTGAATATATCTAGTTTGAAGTATGCTTGTTGATCAGTTACAGACACTATGGTAGCTATAAGTATAGGAGTTCAGCAAAAATCAACAAAGGCATTCTATGAACATCATTTATGTATTTGGAACTTATAATAAAAATACTGTGTTATTACTATTGGAAAATTGTGTGCTATATACATTTATCTCTATAAAAACACATGTGTTTATATGTACACATTTTTTTTTCCCTCTGGAAACTGGTTGCTAAGTATTTACAAGCCTGAGTTTCCTTTTGTACCTTCCCAGGAAGGATGTGAGTCTTTCTGTGTTTGGATGATACCTAGAAAGGCATTTGAAGAACACTTGGGTTTGAAGAAAGTTGCTTGTGCTGAAAAATGAATAGTAGGACACACTTCAGACATGATCCTAACAAATATTCTGAACTCTATTCCTCTGTAATCTATCTGTAGCAAAAACACTTTGCTGTCACCTAATTTAGGCATTGCCAGTCAGGTTTTTGCACTTTTCTACCTTTGACCTTTGCTCCCACCCATCCACAATGCTATTGCACCTGTATATTCCTATGTGCACAGCAACGGGTCCTGGCTCTATAGGGTAGAACCTGTGAGATTTCTGGAGGAAAATGTCAAGGGATCTGACTGGGGCTTTGAGTAATGTGTAAAAGCGTTTCGGCCCTCCGCTCCCTGGGGAATTGGTTGGAATTAGTACCGGGAAGAGACAGTCATGGATGCTGTGTGATCATGCTCATTAGCATAGGTGTTGGCTAGCTGAGCTGGGTATATAGATAAGAGTTAAGGCTTTTACCTTCTGTACAGTCCCCGTAGAGTAGTCCATTCAGGGAGCAAGGTCATGTTTCTTGGTCATAGTGATGGGCGTCCCTTAAATGTGATCTGGGTTGTGGCTGCTCCTCAGAATTCTATTAAGTTTTAATACCTCTTTGACCTTCATTTCCCAATAGGATTGACAATTGCCAAACGCATCCAGATTACTGATTTACCTCAATTGGTTGCTGCTTTCCACAGTTTAGTGGGCATGGCAGCTGTACTTACTTGCATAGCTGAGTACATCGTAGAATATCCACATTTTGCCATGGATGCAACAGCAAATCTCACCAAGGTTGTGGCCTACCTTGGCACTTACATTGGTGGTGTTACCTTTAGTGGGTCTCTTGTCGCCTACGGGAAATTGCAAGGTAAGTGACACAACATAACCTATGGGTAAATATCTGCGGTTATTTATGGGTCTCTTTCAATTTCGGAAAATACTGAACTGTGAAAACTGTTAGGTGAGGAGTGCAAGGTGCTCAGAAATAGGTAAACATTTTTTTCTTCCCTCTGTGGGTAGTTTGACGTTGCTGCCCCTTACAAGTCTCAAAATGCTTTGAAGCTATTTACTCCTGCAGGCAGCCACTGGAGGAAATTAGAGAATGGAAATTGGCAATGGAGGAAATTAGTGAACGGAAATTGACCTGGAGGGACTACTTCACATTTGATAATACTTATGAGCAAAATAACATCTTCATAATCTTTGGTTAGAGATGTTAGCATGGAGCTCATAGAATTGAACCTGGTACATTTTCCAGAACAGAGAAAAGCTTGTTGAATGAGATGGTGTGATTGATAGACCATAATTTTGAAAGTAAATGCATATTTCAAGGCTACAGCATGGCAACTTTCATTTCTGCTAAAGTAAATATGAAATTGGAAGTGGAGGAAAAAAGCCATGGTGGCTGCTTCTAGTGTTTTAACAAAAATATGAGTGTCTAGAGAAACTAGTTAATGATCATAAAAATGTGGTTTTGCTTCTCAGTAATAAAGTCATTAAAATTAGGTGGGGACTTGTATGAAACTTAAAAAGCATAAAAGAACTTCGAGTCTACATTCTTGTTTCATGCTTTGTCCTCAGAAACAACTGACAAATGAGGATTCTGCTCCCTTGGGCTCCATTGATACAATCAGGAAGGCTAATGTACTAGGACTCCAAATTGAAGTTTTAAATAAGTAAAACCACACTTAACAACTTCTCTATTGGTCATACAGGAAAAAAAGTACTTTTTAAGATTCTGTAATAAAAAGTAGGGAAGTGTGATCAAAGTCAGGAAAAAAGCAGTTGCATGGAGCTATGCTTTTCCTGTCTCCCTCAAATGTTATGTGTCATAACTTTAATTTGTTTTCATGTTTCATATCTGGTGGTATAAAATGATGTTTTAATAATATCCTGGTATTATTCTAAGAGCAGATTTTGGTAGTTGAGGTTTGAAGGATATACACTTGAGTATGTCTGACACATTCTGTGTGCTTGGCTCTAGGTATCCTGAACTCTGCCCCTCTTCTCCTGCCTGGCAGGCACTTACTCAACGCAGGTTTGCTGGCTACTAGTGTGGGTGGAATAATCCCATTCATGATGGACCCAAGCTTCACCACGGGCATCACCTGTCTGGGTGCTGTGTCCGCCCTCTCTGCTGTCATGGTAAGAAATCAGACTGCTGGGCACACGCTGAGGCAGGCCTTCAGCCTAGGAAGCACATTGGCGGGTCTGGGTTTGACCCTTATGTCTGGGTGGCCGGATCCAGCTTCCAGCAACCTGTTAATGCCTGGGAAAGGCGCTGTCCCCTACCCAGTGGATCAGGATTCAGTTTGTAGCTCCTAGCTTTGGCCTGCATGTTGCAGGTGTTTGAGGAGTGAACCAGTGGATGTGAGAGCAATCTCTGGTTCTTCCACTGAAAACAAGAAAAGAAAAAAGGTAAAGAAGAAACATATACATTTAGAAATGGGGAATGCTTTGTTAGATTACTTTCTAATCATATTTCTAGCTCTTTAAGACCCCACTAATGGAATAGAAATATTTTAAAATTGTTTCATTTTCACATTTTTGGAATCTGGGAAATGACAAAAGAGTAAGAAAAAAGCCTGCTTTTTCTCTCTACTATTCATTTTCATGTCACAAAGATACTTTTATTGCTCTGATTTCTTCGTTGGATAAATATGATGGTGAATAAGAGTTTTAAAAAGCCAAGGCTTTCTATTCCAATCATTCGGTGCCTACTGTATGGCAAGCCTAGAAAACAATGTTTGGCTGTGCATGTAATATTCAAAATTTAATCTTGGAAATAGTCAGGAAACGTTAGTCTCCACCCATCAGTTGGTCATTCATTGAAAGACATGATACCAGATTAGATAATTATATGAAGTGAAATGCAGTTAATTACCCTGTGTGTCCGGTGAGGGGCTTTTGTGAATGCCTTTTGTGATAAGCCAGATATTCCTCTTCCTCACTAATTTTTGTGTTTAATATTGCTCAGTAATTCCTGTGCTTAGTATTGTTACAGCGTTTTTGTTAGTTATCTGTGTGTATGTTACAGTTTAGCACTTTATCACACCAGTGTGCCACTGGCACGTGCCGTAGTGTGTTCGCTGATAGCTTTGTGTTCCTCTAGTATATGGTATACTTTGCAGGCAAGATTTACATTTTCCATTTTTAGAAAATTATATGCAGTGTCTGGCACAAAACTGGGCGCCCCATAAGTGTTTGCAACACATTTACTGTCTCCTTGACTGAGAAACACAGTGGTGCTTCTTTTTGGGTACTTGTAAGAATCGGGCCATGATTTCAGATCAGAAGGTTTGACACATTGAGGAGATCTTCAAATTCTATCTTTATAGGAATGCTAATGATCCAATTTCATCCTGGCTTAGATAGCACTGGTTTTGTTTTATGTTAATAGAAACATAATTTTGGCATTTTTAATGTGATCAAGCGGAAGAGTTAAAGTCTGAACACCGAGTCTATTGTTCAGAACTATAAAACTTTAAAATTATTTGTTTTTTGAGAGGCAGTGAATATGATAGTTAAATGGACTATGTGTATTGACTGTATGAGAACGCTTGAGTAAGAAGAAATATTTTTTAGAATTTTTTGCTTTTGGCTAAACTAAGTAATATATGAGCACATTTGCATTGTGAAAAACACAAAAAACTGTAGGAGCAAGAGGAATAAAAAGCTAAAAATGTTGTCCCTACCATCCTTTTTCTTTCCTATATTTCATAATCTTGGATTGCATGGGGGACATTGTTAATGATACATTTAAAATTTTTGTGTGTGTGTGTGTTCACCCAGAGAGAATTAAGTATAATTTTTCTTCATTAATTTTTATTTGCAACTAACTTGGCTGAATTTAAACTTCAGATTTCTTTTTGGTGTGGTGGGGGAATCTGATATCTGTGTTACTTGAACAGGACTGCTTAGAATCTACCTGTCATACATATAATTGAAGAGTCAACCATACACTTTGGGTAGGGTTTGCACATGGGATTTGGCACTCTCTGTAGTTTGTTCATTTGTAGCATTTTCTTTCTCACTCTTCAGCTGTCTTGGTTATCCCAAACCTTGTTTTGGGATCTTCGCACGAGTAAGACTGTGGACGGGTGTGTTAGTTTCAGCCACCATACGTGGTATCTGTAAGGACCTACCTTCAGGTCTAACGTGGTAAATCTCACCTGGGAAATTCACTTACTGCTGTATGGTTTTCCCTAGTATGGACCCTCTGAAATGTCTGCCCGTTTTGGTCACTGGCTTTCTTTAGGGATTTTTTTAATAGTGGGGTGGAGTTGAGTTGTTGCATTTGTGGGAGAGCTGGTCGTGCAGGAAGTACTTGGTTGTTACCCAAGGTACAACATCTATGCGCATGTGCTCATAGGAAATGACCCAGAAGTAAGATGTTAGAGGTTTCGTTTTAATATTATCCGTCTCCAGTTCCGCTGTGATCTTCATCCCAGGGTGTGACTCTGACGGCGGCCATTGGAGGCGCTGACATGCCTGTTGTCATCACGGTGCTCAACAGCTACTCGGGCTGGGCTCTGTGTGCAGAGGGCTTCCTGCTCAACAACAACCTGCTGACCATCGTGGGTGCTCTCATCGGCTCCTCTGGGGCTATCCTGTCCTACATCATGTGTGTGGTAAGAAGCCGTGCTCTGGACACGTGCATGTGTTTGCCTTTGCAGTAGAAACAAGTACCGAAGTTTTAATTGTAACAAAAATCCCTTCAGTAACATCCAAGACAATTTTCAGAGTGTACTGCTGTAGAGAATTAGTAAAATTAGATATAAAGGTGAAAAATATGGGCGGCTGTGTAGTGTAGCGGTCAAGACGCTGCTTAGGACATCTGCGTTTGATCCTGGAGGACCCGGGTTTGAGTCCCAGCTCTGCCTCTAGTTTCAGCTTCCTGCTCACGTGCACTGTGGCAGGCAGCAGGGGATGGCTTGCATGGCCATCCTAGTTCCTGTCATCAGCCTGGCCCAGTGCTGGCAGCTGCAGACAGTTGAGGATATATTTTTTTTTTGCATTTCTGTCTCTGTCTCTCCATCTGCCTCTCAAAGATAAATAATTAAATAAATAAATACAGTTAAAAAAAAGCTGTCATGAAAAAAAATCTTGTAACATCTCTATATCTGGAGATAAACACATAAAATTCTGGTTTATTTTCTTCCATGATTTTCTAGTGTGTATGACATATCTGTACATTTATTTATTTGATCATCTTACATCATATATTGCTTTTCATTCAATTAAAAAAATCTTGTTCTGTTCCTGACTTTTTAGCATTAAAACGCTGTAACGTTATTTGAATTCATACTATTCTATCATATGATATGCAAGCTTGATTTTTCACTAATGCTGAACATTTTAGACTGTTTGATTTTTTTTATTTCTCTTGATGTAAGTGTATTTTGGCATTTATGATTTTAGTCTTAAGTTGTATTCCTAGAAGTGGAAAAGGTACTGATTTTTATAGAAATAAAAAACTTTTTTAAGTTTTATAGATTCTGTCCTTGAAATAATAGCTTTGAGTTTTGTTCAAAGTATAAATAAATATAAAGCCAAATAAAATGATTTGCCATTGATAAATAATTTAGACAGAAAAGAATATTGTACCTTCATCCTTTTGCTGCATTATTAAAAACACACAAGTTAGAATTTTCCTTATGTTGTAACTGAAAATCCCGTCATAATTAAGATTATAGAATTGCTTTTGTTTCTTTAGCAAAGCAAAGGATCTGATGTTACAAATTATCAGGAGATTATTTTAAATGAAATCATCTAAAATTTTCAGGGTTTTTGGAAAGGTAGAGGTTATTGATCCTGTTTCAAAATGGGCAAGCTTGTAGGATTTTAAATACAAATGTTTTTAAAGAAGAAAACACTATTTGAGTTTATTAGAAATTCAGGCTTCTTTCAAAACAAACATTAAAGCCTTGGTTTGATTTTGCTTTGCTTGCTGTATTTGAAGACCAGCAGGGGGCAGCAGATTGTCATTATTGTTTAAATGTGGTTTGTCAGAAAACAGCCTTTAAAATCAAATGGGAGGACTAGAAGTTTGAGAAAGACAGTGGCAAGCTAATAAGCATGAGGATGAAGAGAGGTCTTATATTTTCTTTATTTTTACCTACTTATTTATTTGTTTATTTTAAAGTCAAAGGAGGTTGGGGGTAGTACGGAGAAGAGGGAGTGGTAACTCCCATTCCTTGGCTGACTTCCCAGTTGACTGCAGTGCTGAGGCTGGGCCGTGCTGAAGCCAGGGGCCAGGGCCACAGTCCAGTCTCCCGCCCAGGTGGCAAGGACCCAACTACTTGATCCACCTCTCACTGCCAGCTTCCGTCGCCAGGAAGCTGGCACGATTGAACTCAGGCACTCAGATGGGAAGTCAGACACGATGATATGCCTTCCTGACTGCCCTGCCCAATGCCTGGCCTAGTATCCAGTTCTAGAAATGTTATCATGTATCTTCTTGCTCGGATGCTTTTTTTTTTCTTAAATGATTTTCCTTTTTATTATATTTTAATTAAAAATTTTTTTTTCATTGATTTGAAAGGTGGAGATAGAAATACAGAGAGAGAGAGAGAGAGATCTTCTTTCTGCTGGTTTGTTCTCCCCAAATGTCCACACAGCTGCCGATGCACTCCCCAAGTGTCTGCAGTTGCCTGCCCAGCTGGGCCAGACCTAAGTCTGGAGCCAAGAATGCCATCCTGCTCCTCCACCTGGGCAGCAGGAGCAGTGTCCAGATGCTGCAGATGTCTTTTGATGCCTTCTTAGGTACATTGGTGATAACCAAAGTACAGTAGCCGGGACTTGAATCATCAGTCAAATATTCCCATGTTAGTGTGGCAAGTGGCAGTTGCAATGCAAACAGTAGCCAAACCCTCAGTGCTACAAGGCTGGCTTCAAAAAAAAATTTTTTTTTGGATTCATTTGGAAAGCTGAGACACAGATGATGAGAGCTCCAGTTCATTTGTCCACTTCCCAAATTCCTCCAAGGGTGGGGGCTGCCCCTGGCTCCAGGGGCTCAATTCAGGTCTCCCATGTGACTGCAAGGGGATGCAACTACTCCAGCCGTTACCTGCTGCCTCCCAGGGTGCCCATTCACATTGAAGATAGAACTTTTTTTTTTCTTTCAAATTTTTCTGATTTATAATTTTCAGATTTTTTTTTATTAAATCTTGGCCTGTGCTTTTTGTCGTAAGACATTGCTTCTTCTTGGTAGTGCCTGGCAGAAAAAAAAGATAGTTTGTAATAAATAACACAAATGAAGTCGCTACTCAGAATTGGGCATTAACTCGGACTCCAGGTGTTAACAAATTTTGGCTCATTTCCTCCTTTCTTGATTCTGAGGGTAGAGGTAGCATTTTTAGGTGCCACCTAAGATTTGCCTTTGTGTTTATTGTGGTGGATGTAGCATCTGGCATCAACACAGGTAGTGTTTCTTAAATGAATGTTAGATGGGTATTTCATATACTAGTTCATTTCAGGCTTTGGAGTTCTCTAAATAGTTTTGGTAGCAGATATACCTAAGTTATTTTGATATTAGTATACTGATCTTGATTATTATTTATGGAAAGAAGCATCCAACTGGTAACCAGAGAGGGGTCGTTTTGTCATGTGAGAGAGAATGAAATGCATACCAAGTGGCTAACCAGCAATTCCTGAAATAGATTTTTTTTGTTTTCACAAAAAATTCTTTTGCATGTCCTACAAGTCTACAAAACTCCCATTATAGAAATTGAGAAATGTTTACAGAGACCAAGTAGCCAGCTCAGATGAATGGCCTGATTGATATTCAGCTATTCTGGCGTCTTCATGTTTTTTATTGGGTCCACTACTTGGGTTAGTGTCCTGATTGTCTTATAGATAGAAAACCTGTGAAAATGGAATGGTATTTTTAAACCAAACTTTTTGATATTTGCATTTTCCCTTTCTTTCCAAATGAAGTTAGAACAGGAATAAGTGGGTCAAAAAACTGCTCCAGAAGTAATATCTTTTGCTTTGCTTTTTAAAATTTACTTGTGGGCTCATGTCTTGGTATAGTGGGCCAAGCCTCTTTTTGTAGCACCAGCATCACGTATGGTCACCTGTGTGTGTTCCGATTGCTCCACTTCCACTGCAGCTCCCTACCTACAGCCTGGGAAAGCAGAAGAGGATGACTTAAGTCCTTGGGACCCTACAACCATGCGAGAGACCCAGAGGAGGCTCCTGGCTTCATGTCTGCCAAGCTTTGGCTGTTGTAGCCATTTGGGGAGTGAACCAGCGCACGGAAGATCTCCCTATCTCTACTTCTCTCTCTGATTCTGCCTTTCAAATAAAAACAAATAAATCCTTAAAAAAATTATTTGAAAGCCAGAGAGAAAGGGGAAGAGAGAGAGAGCAAATGAATGTACAAGCTCCTCGTCCACTTGCCTTGCCTGGAGCTGGTAGTGAGGAATACAGTGCAGTTCTCCTGTGTGGGTGACAGACTCAACTTCTTGAGCCGTCACAGCCTTCCTCCCTCACCCTGCACTGTGAGTAAGCTTGAATGGGGAACCAGAACCAGGAATTGAACCCTGATACTCGGATGTGGGCTGCGAATGTCTTGGACACTAGACCAAATGCCCATATCCCCTTTTTTGCTTTGTGGTTAATTAAATTAGTACCTACAAAATATTGAAATGAGAGATGCTAGTAAATAACATATATGCTATTATTGCTTTGTCTACTTTATGGTCATCCTTTTGTTTTTAGATTTTTGTTTACAGCACACTCAAAATTATAGGAATTAGGGATCTCTTTAATGTACAATATAAATTTCATTATAGGGCTTAATAGCTTAACAGGAATGGTCTTGGAGTATGTCGCAAATTTTTTTCTTTGGGAGCTGGGAACTTTTCAATATGTGAATCAGTGGTCACAGCATAGTCTCATTAATCACTTAAGCAATCAAAAAAAAAAAAAAAAGGAAGAAAGAAAGAAAAAGCCATAAACTGTAAGCATTTGTTGAAAATGTGATGTTGCAATGGCAAATTTAGAAGTGAAAAAGAGACCACATGGAATTAACATAATGGTGGTATAATTGTGGATATGTGTTTAACAAGTTGACTTTATTGTTAAGCTACTGTGTTGTTCCTGTTTCTTGTCCCTAAGATGCCATCAGAACTAGGTACACATTAATTAAATATCCTCAGAAGTTCCTCTCCTCTCCTTCATGGAGTTTTGCGGTGGAAATAACGGGTCCTTTTGAGCCTTGTTGGAATAATGTGCTTATTTCCTTCTGTATCTGCTCCTTCTATCCTTGAGAGGGCTGCAGGATACGGTAATGGAGCCTCTGTGTCCACGTTTCCTTTCTTAGAAAAGTCATTTGTCATGGAGATAACTTAATGGCAAAACCAGCATTTTGGAGCAGTCAATTTTTTAAACTTCTTGTTCTTATTGGAAAGTCAGATTTACAGAGAATCGGAAATATGGAAATAAAGATCCTCTGTCTGCTGGTTTACTCCCCAGATGGCCACAGTCACTGGAGCTGAGCTAATCAGAAGCCAGGAGCCTAGAGCCTCTTCTGGGTCTCCCATTTGGGTGCAGGGTCTCAAGGCTTTGGGTCATCCTCAACTGCTTTCCCAGGTCACAAACTGGGTGTAAAGTGAAGGAGCTGAGACATGACATATGAGATCCTGGTACATGCAAGGCGAGGATATATATGCTGAGCCATCATGCTGGGACCTATACATTGTTTCAAATTATATTTATTTCGTAGTTGAAGGGCAGACAGAGAGGGTGTGAAAGAGAGGTGTAAGTGATTACTTGGTTCTTTGTTCCCCAAGCTCTCACAACACCCAGGGCTGGGCTAGAGCGAAGCCAGGAGCTCAGAACTACATCCTGCTCTGTCGTGTGGGTGGTGGCAAGGCGAGTACTGGGCCCATCACCCACGGACTGCTGCTTCGCAGGAAGCTGGCTCCGAAGCAGAGTGACTGGCACTCAAACTGACACTCTGATGTAGCCCGCAGGTGTCCCAAGCATTGGGTTATGCTGCACTGCCACGATGTGTGCCCCTGAACAATCTATTTTTTAAGGGAAAAATTTGGTAGAATACATTTATTTCATAAATTATTTTCAAAATCCTGTAATTCAAAATCAGGAAGGATTCATCAAAATGAGCAAAAGTTGAGTGTGTGAGAATTCTAGGGTACAACCTTCTGAGCTTTCATTAAACCTTGGATTTAAATATGGGAAGGTATGTCAAGAGTGCAAAACTTCATGTCCAATTGGATGATGAACTTCATTAAAAGTATTAATTTTCCCCCAGCTTTCCCATTAATATGATACATAAGGCTAGTGCAGGCTTCGTTTTATTTGTAGCAATACACATTTTTGTTTTTAAATTGGACCTTTAGTGCTGAGAATTGGGTTTGCATCTAATGAACAATTTAAAATCCACTGTAGTCAGTAAAAATCTGTGTTTCTTTTTTTTAAATTAATTACATTGCATTATGTGACACAGTTTCATGGGCTCTGGGATTCCCCCATCCCAGCCAACATGGAAAATCTGTGTTTCTTAAGGGTGATTTTATTGACGTGCCAGCTCTTTGTTGATCTTTATGTTTCTTTTCCTTGCTGCCTTTGCCTGGCTTGTACTTCAGCCATCCTATGCCCTCTAGGATGGCAGCAGGCTGTCCATCCATGGATGAGTGGTGATGTTGTTGCTTGCTTCCCCTTTATGTCATGTTTATGATGGAGCATCCCTAGGTACTTAAAAAAATAATACGTTGTCTTTTAAAATTATAGGTTGACTCTTAGATAGCTTTTAAATGATGTGTTGGATCAATGATGTATTCTCTTAAGAGAGGGTTTCTCCATTTGTTTTGTAACCTTGTCTAAAATGATTCAGTTAGGCTCATTTAGCTCATGTACTGTAGGTTTGAGTTGGTGAAGTAAGCTTGAGTAACATCTAGCTTCCCTTCTGTTACGACTGAACTTGCAGAGGTGCACGAGTGAGCCATTTTCAAACAGCTCAGCTACTGTCACACATTTTGGTTGTGGCATTTTCCCGGTCCATCCTTGATTGTCTGTACACAAATATGCAATGAGAAATGTCTGTTATTTTTCTCATAACATTTTAAAAAAGATTTTGGTGTGGTTCTTAATTATACAGAATTTGTGACATTATTTATCTATCTCTTTGGAAGGAAAGTATTTTGGAATTGCAATGATGAACGTTGCTACATTCCTATGTAGGCACGAAGTTTTATGGAGCTGTAATGCATTTGAAAGCTGATTATCAACCCGTGTTTCTGGTTTGTTGACGACAGAGGGCAGCAGAGCCCTAGATGAAGTGATAGGCATTCTTTCCAGTTGCCTCTTGATGATTTGTATCTGCTAGCAAAAGTCAACCCATGGGGACACCTTGTAAAATTTTTTATTCTTGTCATTCTCTTTGTTCCTCTTTGACTTTAGTGAAATACATGCACATATGTAGGCAGGAGTTAATCAGTGCACTCAGGCAGTAATAACTAGATGCTAATTTTTATTCATTTTTTGATTTTACTGGTAATTGTCCATGAAAACTTTTGTTTTCATTTATCTTTTTATTTGTGTATCTTGGGGTAGTTGATTTGGTAGGGAAAAGTTAGGTGGTTCTCTGATGTCTTCAGTCATTTAAAATATCAAGATAACTTTCATAACTCAAATTTATCCAGTTAAAGTGTTTTAAATGATCAAATAAGCCTGTTTAACTGATTCTGAATATGACATACACAAATTGGAAACCATTTCCCAAAAGTTACTTGGATCATAATTTCTCAGCTAATCATTTTGTTCTGTAGGCAATGAATCGCTCCCTGGCTAATGTGATCCTTGGAGGCTATGGCACCACTTCAACAGCTGGTGGAAAACCCATGGAAATTTCCGGCACTCACACAGAAATCAACCTTGACAATGCAATTGACATGATTCGAGAAGCTAATAGCATTATTATTACTCCAGGTAAAAAGAAAAAGCAAGGAAGAATAATAGATATTGTAGTTGGTTGTAGTTGTACATTAAATTGATCTCTTGTAATAGGAATCACAGAGGTGGAATTTCCTTGTTTTGAAAATATAATGAAACTAAGGCATTGTTGAACCTTTGTTACTTTTTCTCAATGATAGTTTTTGGACCTATTGTGAAAATCAAGTTAGATATAGTGTATGAAAGTGTCTAGTTCACTCATTAGACCCACTCAGAAATTGTTAACCTTCATAAAAAAAGTATATAAAAAAGTCAAGGGTCATTTGGATTTCAACAATGTTGAAGCCATGAGTAAAGCTGAGCTGTTCAGGTAGAGTGGAAGGCTAGTGCTAGACCCCTGGCACAGCTTTGTCATTGAAGAGGGAAAGTAAGAAGAGAAAAGTTGGAGAAGCTGGAGGCATTATAATGGCAAGGTTAGGGGGAGATCCAAAGGCTGCAGTGTCATCAAAGCCCAGGTATAAAGAAAATTGGAAACATATGGGCGGGAGAAAGAGAGAGAGAGAGACAGACAGAGACATGACAAGTGTGTGCGTGGTGAGTGGGGAGGGGGTGTTCAGCTGTGCCAGACACCATGAGAGATTGAAAGACTTTAGATTTTAACTTTCAAATACTCCGGGTTGGATTTACTTTAATTTCTGCTTCTGTTAATAGATTGCCTGTGTTGGCGTGAAACCATGTTTGGATGCTGTGAGAATTTGTAGTTCACATGATTTCAGAATAGAAAACATGTTCTTCTTTGTTCTCCACGTTCCTTGCAGGCTATGGTCTCTGCGCAGCCAAAGCCCAGTACCCCATTGCTGATTTGGTAAAGATGCTCACAGAGCAAGGCAAAAAGGTCAGGTAAGTGTTTCCAATGAGGAGCTGCAGCTTCTCCAAAGACGTGTCAAGAAAAGGAAGCGGATGGCTTGTTTTTAGGACTACTCTTTCTTCAAGTGACATTATATACATATAATCCTAGTCAAAGAAGCTAGGTTGCTGTTCATCCCTGCTCCTCCCCCCAGAGAAACCCTATTGTGGTTTTAGCTTTATTTGCTAAGTAGTTTTTGTCTAATACCATGGACTCTAAATAGGGACTGATTTTAGGAAGAAAATTTTGTTCTAAATTCCAGGATACTTAATAATGGGAAAGAAGAGATGTCTTGTTCTTCTCTGATTTGAGCTGGAGAAGAAGTTTCAACAAATCAAGTTTTGTTTCTTGGTTTCTTTTTCACGTTGAAGACAAACAAAAGGTCTCTAGTGAAGCCCAGAAATAAATTTGTGGAATGGCAACTGTTCTGCCAATTTGCAAGATAAAAAACATGAAAAGTGTTCCTGTTCTAAGGCCATCCTCTGTTGGAAATATGCATTAGAACGGCTGCATTTTCTGCCTTATGCCTTTTGGGCATTAGATTCTGTTCTTGGGAGGATTTTTAGTAAAACTTCCAAGTTAAGGGACCCAGATGAAGGATTTGAGGCATGTACAAATGGGAATATTGATGAGTGAACCTGGGGACCCTTGTTGTATTTTGCATCTGTCCTGTTCATCTCTGGCTCCCCATTCAGGACTGTGATGTCTGGACTCCTTGCTGGAGGCCACCTGTTGCCTATTTTGTGGGGCAGCTGCTTCAGAAGCAGTTACATGGGCGTAACACAGTGAGTCAAACATGCAGGGCAGCTCATCACCTAGAGCCAGTTTGTTCACCAGCACGGGAACATTTGATGACAGAAGGGTTAATGTCTGTTTGCAAAAATCCTTTGAGATGTCACCGGATCCATGTATGTGCAGACAATTAATGAGAAGATAAGCTAACTAGTACCTAGAATCAGTTGGAATATCTGTACCAGAATGGATACAGGATCCTAATCTATGGTTTGATTTTTTTCCAGTTGTTAGTGGTGGTAAAAGGACTTAGCTGATGGTAACCCAAGAATTAAACAAGCTGTCCAGGTGGTGTCAGCCGTTTTCCTTTCTTTCCTTCCCAAATTTCCTTTCTTCCTTCCCTCTTGCCTCACCACTTCTTACAACCTTTAGTGTGCATGGAGTCAACATACAATTTTGGGGGAGAGACCACTGTACTGTGACATGGATGATTTCCATGAATAGTGAAACTCTTAGATAAATTGAAGATAGACGGTGAGAAAAGTTATTGTATTTTTCAGTGTTACACAAAAGCCTTCTTTGTAGTTACTCATTTCCATTTTCAGAGTATTAAGCTTTGCTACATGGTCACAGTCTTGCCACTTAGAGCATTTGCAGACCTGCATGTGAGAAAGATGTGTATGATTTCTTAAAATTCTGTATGATTTCCTAAAATCATAAAAGAGAAGTTGTTTTCATTATGCAGTCTGCATGCGAAAAAGTCGTAACATGTTAGCAAAACATTTTATCACCATATAGATATTTAAGAGACAAGTGACGGTCTTAATGCAATGAAAGAAGATTGCTTCCACGTCTTAGGTCTCCTTCGGGATGGGGATGATGAGGTTGACACATCTCTCATCACCCAAGGTCAGCTGAAGTCAGTGAGACATCTTGGTGTGATTGGTGAATGTAGGATAGAGGAGTGACATAAGGCTGAGAGTTGTTTGAGGCAAGCCAGGATGCAAAAGGAGCATGTAAGACAGAGAAAAATGGGAACAGAAAAGGGGTAAGGCAAGTAGTGTTTTTATTTCTGATATAATATACACTGCTGTTCTAGAATGATTGCTGTCACTCTGCATGAGAATAGTAATTATTTGACCTAAAGCGTATGAGAAGTATTTAACTGAAAATATGTATGTGAATAATTTCTCAGTTACACATTATTTTTCATTGAAGCAATTTTGTAAACATAATAGCAGGCTCTTCATGAGAGAACTTTTGTTTCACATTGTTATTAAAGTTTGTTCAGATAACTTATTAATAAGTTAATCATTGATTAAGATCAGAATAACATTGATAGTCTGATTTCTGAACTTGTGAGTTAGGAAATGTTAATTACTTAAATTCATCCATCTTTTATATTGAAGGTGAAATGATCTATTTAGTATACTGTAATTCTTTTTCCTATAGTATGTGATTTTTCAGCATGAACTTTGTGGCATGTTTTATGTAAATCTTGAGTTTCAACTAAATGGGGGGGTGACTATGCTCGCTAATGGGGTGATAATACTAGCTCATTATATTTTTGCTTTTCTCCTTTGTAGTTCCTGCATGAAAATTTTGTTTTTATGTTTTTTTGTTTTGTTTTGAAAATCTTAAAAATTTTGTTGGCTTCACTTTATGTATACACCATCATCTTTTTATGGAGATAGTGCAATTCCTTGTGAAATTAGGAATACGTATATATTTATGTATATGTGTGTGTATATACATATGCACAATTATGAGCATTTTTTTTCTTTGAGAAAAATACAGGCTGTTTGAACAAGAGATGGTTGCAGCAGTTACCTCGTATTTTAATGAAATAAATCTGTATTTACAGTTTGCAGTAATTGAGTCCTTTCATCACTCTGCGGAGCTCCCACGGTGTTCATTGAGTACAGCTGCTGGGCCTCTGGTTTGAGTAGGTCTTTGTGCCTCAGGACCCCAGCATGCCTCGCATCCAGATGTGGTGACATATTCGCACACATCCCCCGTGGAAATGTGCCAGTGCGGACATATGATTGTCATCAATTAGTTATGCCCAAGTGGTGCCAAGAAAAATTGCATATGTCATACAGTCTGTCTGGCTTCATGGCCCATGATTGAGTTAGAGACACTCCTGTTTTCCTTTACTTTGGCCATAGTCAAAACATGCGCACAAAGAGCTCAGATTATATAATGGAGCATATGACATTTCATGACAAGACCTCGTTTTAGAACGTCATCAAAGTTCATAAACTTAGCTTTTGTTTAGTGGCCAAAATATCATCATTTCTTAGTTGTCCGGAACGCTTGTACAGCTTGCCTCACTTATGTTTGGTCTCTGAAAGCATTTTATGACACAATTTTGGGAAACAAGAGCGCAGGCATGTTTTTTCTTAACTTCCTAATCTATGATTGATTATGTGAAGATGATAGGCTCTTCATAATAATGTGAAGCTAGTGTTAGAAAGGGGTGAATTTTTCTTTGCTTTTGTAATTAATCACTACTTGATATTTCTTATATAAATAGTTATCACTTGACTTGCATTGTTACAGAAATCTTCTGAATTCTGAAAACAACTTTAGCGTTCTTTGACTTACGTCATGATCGCTTCTTATATTAATAATTTGTTAATAGGACTTATGTGGGGCTTATAGAGTAAAAGTGCTTAAAATTCCATGGAAATGGAAATAAAAGAGAAGTTTATTTTGGTACAAAGACATTTGAAGTTTGCTCATATGCTTGGATTTCAAAATTTTCTGCACCAAAATAAGCTTGCTTGCTTGCCCTTTCTTTTCTTTTTCTTTCTTTCTTTCTTTCTTTCTTTCTTTCTTTCTTTCTTTCTTTCTTTCTTTCTTTCTTTCTTTCTTTCTTTCTCTCTCTCTTCCTTCCTTCCTTCCTTCCTTCCTTCCTTCCTTCCTTCCTTCCTTCCTTTCTTCTTTTTTTCCTTCCCTCCTTCCTTCCTTCCTTCTTAATAAAACATTTATTTCACTTAGGTCATATACAGAGAAAGAGGGAGAGAGAGAAATCTTCAGTCCCATGGTTCACTCCCTGGTGGCTGCAATGGCGAGAGTTAGGCTGGTCTGAAGCTGGAAGCTAGGCTTGCTTTCAGGTCTCTCTTGTAGGTGCAGGAGCCCAAGATTTTCGGTCATCCTCTGCTGCTTTTCCAGGCCATTAGCAGGGAACTGGATTGGAAGCAGAGCAGCTAGGACACCAACCGGCCCCTTATGGGGTTGTGAGCCTCTGCAACATGGGCAGAGGATCAGCTTATAATGCCACCCCAGCCCTTGCTTGTTTTTCCTTTTTTTAAAAAAGTTAATCATGTCCTTAAAATTTAATTATCTTAATTAATTAATTAAAAGAGATAGGGATGTAGGGCCTGGCACGATGGCTTAGCAGCTAAAGTCCTCGCCTTGAATGTGCCGGGATCCCATATGGGCACCGGTTCTAATCCTGGAGGCTCCACTCCCCATCCAGCTCCCTGCTTGTGACCTGGGAAAGCAGTTGAGGATAGCCCAGAGCCTTGGGACCCTGCTCCCATGTGGGAGACCTGGAGGAGGTTCCTGGCTCCTGGCTTCAGCTGTTTTGACTCAACTCCAGCCGTTTTGCTCATGTGGGGAGTGAACCATCAGAGGAAAGCTATTCCTCTTTGTCTCTCCTCCTCTGTATATTTGCCTTTCCAATAAAAATAAATAAATCTTTTCTTTTTTATTTAAAGATAGGGATGTAGATAGATATGGGGCAACAGAGAGAGACAGTGAGAAAGAGAGAAAGAGAGCGAGAGAGAGAGAGAGAGAGCCCAAAAGCCTATAAGCAAGCTGGGCCATAGCAAGGAACCTAGAGTTCAGTCTGGATCTTCCAGGAAGTGGCAGAGATTTACCTACTTGGGCCATCGCCTGCTGTCTTGCAGAGAGCTCGTTCAGTGAAGGAGGGATGGGGAGCAGATGGGTATGTGGTGCGTTTGTACCCCCGTCGTGATACTTACCCTCATTCCATTTTGCATAAACCCATTATAGTTGTACAAGGATGTATAAGCCCAGGTCTTGCTCTTGAAAGTTTCTAGCAGTGATGGAAACAAGTCTATAAGCGTACACATCAATGAATGAATTCCATGTCCTGTGGTGACAGTATGTTAAAAATACAAGTGTATAAACATTGGTTAACAATGTGAAGGATAGGTATAATTAGCTGCCCAGGGATATTTTGTTTTTATTTATTTATTTTTAATGTGATTTCTGGTTTTGGGAAACAGAC